AAGTGAAATTAAATTTAAGACCAATTTTATAAGAAACACAAATGACAAAAAAATAAAATAAAAATAAATAAAAACTGGTAGAAACACATGAATCAAAGCACTTTTGGTTGAAATATTCTAATATTTCTAATAGACCAATTGTTTTTATCCATATCTAACTATAGCAGAAACATTCTTAGCAGTCAGTTTTAAACTTGATTTCTGGAAATCCTCTAAAAACCCAACATTTGGAGTTTTAGGACCCACAGTGGGGTCTTAACCCCTATTTGCTGTGGATGAAACCTTAAAGTGCCTGTGACATCATTTTTTTAAGAACAGTGAACGCACTTTTGGAAAGACAACATTAACATATTACAAAAATAATTTCACATTGCTCAGATGAAGAATTGAGATATTTTCATGTGAAATAACAGGAAGTGATGTCAAAGGGGAATGTCAGCATATGAATATTAAAAAAATAAATGTTACCAATTAATTTGAGATGAATTACAATCATCTTATTTACAATGTGTTAACATTTTTAAGACTTCAGAAATATTGATTTAAGACATTTTAAGGCTAATTAAGGCCTTATTTTTGAATTGATGAATTCAATGACTTTTAAGACTTTTTAAGGATCTGCAGGAACCCTGATGAATAGGATCTCCTGGTGGAGTTCAACTCCCACCCTGATGGGGTCTGACTTACTGCTGGAAATGAAAATCAAACTCTTGCACTGCTTGTATAGGGACCAGATGCCCCGAAACACAAGACTCACAGAGCACCCCTGTACAGTTTACCACATGGAACACGGTCGAATGCCTTTTTTAAGTCCACAAAACACATGTAGACTGAATGGGCAAACTCCCATGACCCCTTGAGGACCCTAGTGAGGGTAAAGAGCTGTTCCAGTGTTCCACAGCCAGGACAGAACCCACAGTTATTGACTGGACTCTTTTGTCCAGCACCCTAAAAAGACCTTCTTAAAATTTGCTACAGAAAAAWAAATACATTTTAAATCAGGTATTATGTGAGTGATGTCTCATTCAGGCCTCAGGATGAGACAGTGGTGAAATAAAAGATGCGGCTCAAATATGACAATAAGCCAATAAAATTCCTTTGCAGCAGATAKGTTTTCTGTTTCAGAAAAGCTTTATTGGCTATTTTCATGTGATGACCTAAAGCAATACTTCCAATCATTTCTCTCACCTACCAAAACATCAACAAAGAAAAACAAAAGACCGTCATTACATGACCAATAGATGTGCTGATCTTTTGAAAAACTGAAGTAGAAACAGATTGTTCACAGAGCCGGAGCAGAGTGGGTTAAACCTATAAACAAATCACTGAGCTGCTTCTCCCTCTGCTCAGAGCTCTTACAGGGTTCACCATGTATTTACATCCTGAAGACAAACACTTATTTCAACGAGGAATAAAGTCTCTTCCATCTAACTTCGCCTTGTTTTTCGACCAAAAGTAAGTTCCTCACTCTGAAGACATTTGAGTTAAAATAGCAAATTTCCTCAATTCCACAGAAACAAAACAAAACGTGATCGTCCTTTTTGCTTAATATTTACTGTTCGCTGTCTTTTTAATAACAAACTGGTTTTGGTTTTTCTGTTGAACCATCTGCAAACTTAAGAAAAACAAAGTAGAACAAAAAGACAGAAAACAGATTTCTGCTCTGAAGTCCTGAACAATAAATCCAACAGGCTGCATGAGGAGACGGGAAGGGAGTCCACGGGATGGACGGCCTGTCCTCCTGCTGCACGTTTGGGTCCGTTGGTGTTGAGGGATGGCTTGACGGAGGCGGGCCGAGCAGAGGTGGAAGGCCGAGGAACTGTTTTGTGGGATTTTTCGCAGAAGAACTCTGACGCGAGCTCAGAACCTGAGGTGAGATTTGTGTTTCATCATGTATCTGATGAAACCGAAGGAGAAACAAAAATGAGTTTAGATTAAAACACAATGTCGACACAAACAGGTGTGTAAAAAACAGAAAAGCGTACTTGTCGAGGGTTTCCCAGAAGTGCAGGAAGACGGAGCGCTCCACGTGGGATTTGTGACGGCTCAGCTCCAGCACGGTCACGTCCCATTTCTGCACGTTGGGGTCTGTTTTCGCTTCATCGTATTTCAAATGAAAAGCTCGAACTGGAAAAGAGATGTTTTCAGTCAGAAAGCTTCAACAAACCTGAAGAAACATTGTAAACTGAAACCGAAAAACTAGTGGAAAACTCAGGCAGCTGGTGATGCTGGGAGAGGGCAACTGAATGAATGAATATGTGAGCCATGACATCGAAATGACGATAAGTTTATAAGTTGTATAGTCAGATATGGTGTTTTGATTAAAACACTTGCAAAAATAGCAGTTTGTCAAAATAACAAATAAATGTGTTATCAATGTATCATTTCAATGAACTGTCTGAAATATTATCATAATTTTTTTTGAATCACTTTTTTGAGCATTAGCAAAAAAAACCAAAAACTGATTTTGAGGAAAAACGCCTTAAAATGTTGAGATTTTCCCTGTGAGCTAGCAACACTTTTGTTTCTTTCCAGATGAGAAAGCTCAATATTCAGTTACTGTTTGATGTTTCTTTTTTCACATGACATAAAAAAAAATCCCCATTAAAATGAAATAAAATTAGGATTTAGACCAAATATTAATGTATTATTGTAACCAACAAGACAAATTAAATAATATCTCTGGATCTACTAATGATATCAGGATGATCTAAGTATCAAAATGTAGCTTTTAAAGCCAGGAATCTGAAAATATCAGGTCATTTTGACCAATTTTGACTTAATCCTCATTTGGATGTGATGGGTCACATATATTTAATGATCAAATTATTTTTGTTTTAAATTATTTGGTAAGATTTGCATCTTCTGCAGAGGATTTAGGCAGTAACACAAAGGTACAAAAACAACAGGTTTTTGAGCATTGTTCTAAAACCTGGGTTGAATATTTAATCCCTGCTGCAAGTGAAAAACAGAGAAAAACTGTTRTCTGTAGCGACATCTGCTGTAGAAGCAGAGGACTGCACGTCAACTGACCTCATTGACTTCATCGCTACAGACCAACCAACCCCCCTTCCTCTCAGATGTTCKTAGATCCAAACTGAAATCTAGAAGTGACCGGGCTTTTGCAAAAGCTGCTCCAAAGCTGTGGAACAGTCTGCCTCTWACTYTTCMGTCAGCAGAGACTGTTGAGGGTTTTAAATCTTTGCTGAAGACCCATCTCTTTTCTTTGGCTTTTGACTAAGACCGAGTTGGAGGTTCAGTTAGAGCTTTTTATATGTTAAATTGTGTTTCTGTATTGCATTTGTATCTATTATTTGTTTGTTTTTTGATACGTCTTTARTGAACTGTGAAGCTCTTTGTTCAGCTTTTGTTGTTTTAATGTGCTATACAAATAAATTTGACATAGACAGAACAGCTGTTTATTTTTATGAACCTGAAAGTGACCTAAAATATGCTTTGAAGCTGCTGTATGTAGTTTCTTGAAAACCCAAAAACTTAGAAAAATTTTGAACAGATACAAGCTTCAAGAGCTGTGTGAAGCTGACACCCCACCCACACAAAAAATCCAAACAATAAGTGGATTGGTTAGTGCTTCGTTTGTGCAGGTTTGTGCAGTTAAAATGAGCGTTTGTGCTGTTATAGTTTTTGAGATATTAGACATTATGTCTTTAGCTCATTATGACGTCACCATCCCCCCAGCAACCTCCGAAATTAACCAAGACAGTCTACTTTTTTTGTGCTTCGTTTGTGCAGCTCAGTGCAGTAGAAATGAGCGTTTGTGCTGTTACAGTTTTTGAGATATTACAAGTTTTTACTTTAACGCGATGACATCATCGTGCCCCCCAGCACGCTCCGAAATGGTGACGTCATCGGCCGAAATTATAACTGCTAATATCTCGAAAACAAAAGCTGCACAAACGACAGTTTTTACTGCACAAACCTGCACAAACGGAGCACTAACGACCTAGCCCACTTTGATTTGTTTTTGGAGCGATATGGGGTGATGGTGAACTGTAGATGACCAAAAAATATAATATTTAATATCTCGGAAACCAAAACTGCACAAACGACACTTTTAACGGCACAAACCTGCACAAACGGAGCACTAACGATTCTGACTACTTGATGGATTTTTGGACGTGGGTGGGGTGTCAGCTTCACACAGCTACCTTCAAGTCCCTCCCTCCTTGCTCTCAGCTCCCCTTCCTAAGCTCCTCCCCCACAACAGGGACCAGAGTCGGGAGCGCGCACGCTTGTAAACAGGAAGTGAGCGACACCGTAACACACAGAGCTCAGAGCTAAGCTGCCGTCACGGGTAAGAACAAAACAACTATATATTTTTAACTATCATGTCTTGCCCATACTTTATCTACACAAGTGCTCCTTTTGTCATAACGTTACATGTAAATTATGTATGGAGGACCAAACCTATCATAATGGGAAATAAATGTAGAAATATATAAATGGCTTGAAAAAGTAAATACATGGC